AATACACCCTTACCACCAGAGCATACCTACTACTGCTAATGACTGGTATACTGTTACTACTTGGAGGTAAGCACCCTATACCCTACACCCTATTCACTACACCCTATACCCTACACAGAAAATGTGTGGGCAGAACTGAAAAAGTGTGTGAGCAAGGAGGTGTAGTGTATTAAGAATTATGACTTTGCTAATGTTTTCAAGTGGAACCTGAGAGGATGTTTATTTAGTTTCAGAGGGAGTTGTTTTAGGGTGACACCCCATAGAACAGACAGGGGAGTGTGTGTTGTAGACAGGGGATTGGACAGTAGAGGGAGCCACCCATATTTTGGGGAATATTATAAGTACTGGGTTTGAACAAAGAACATTAGAGCAGACATATTCTTTTGGGACTCTGCTCTCCGGATGCTCTAGACATCTGTAAACTTATGCTGAAATCTTGTGATATGAATAAAACTTATGATCAAAGTTCAGTATAAGTGGACTCCTTTGTTTAACAGCATAATTAGCAACATTGACTCGACACTACAGAGGCCTACAAACCAGACTCAGTTACACCAGCTCTGTCAGGAGGAATGGGCCAAAATTCACCCAACTTATTGTGGGAAGCTTGTGGACGGCTACCCGAAACGTTTGACCCAAGTTAAACAATTTAAAGGCAATGCTACCAAATACTAATTGAGTGTATGTAAACTTCTGACCCACTGGGAATGTGATGAAAGAAAGAAAAGCTGAAATAAATAATTCTCTCTACTATTATTCTGACATTTCACATTCTTAAAATAAAGTGGTGATCCTAACTGACCTAAGACAGGGAATTTTTACTAGGATTAAATGTCAGGAATTGTGAAAAACTGAGTTTAAATGTATTTGGCTAAGGTGTATGTAAACTTCTGACTTCAACTGTATAACAAACATCCAGAAAACCCTGATGAAGGCTTAGAGCTGAAAATGCAATGGTTTTATAATAAAGAAACATTTTTATTACCTTCCACAAAGCTCTGACGAAGGCCAAGAGGCCGAACAGGAAGCTTGAATAGGAAAAGTGATATGAGTAAGAAGGAATAACATTATTCACCTGCAATAAGACCATTCAGATGGGCCAGGGCTTTTCCTTGAAGGAATAACATTATTCACCTGCAATAAGATCATTCAGATGGGCCAGGGCTTTTCCTTGAAGGAATAACATTATTCACCTGCAATAAGATCATTCAGATGGGCCAGGGCTTTTCCTTGAAGGAATAACATTATTCACCTGCAATAAGATCATTCAGATGGGCCAGGGCTTTTCCTTGAAGGAATAACATTATTCACCTGCAATAAGATTATTCAGATGGGCCAGGGCTTTTCCTTGAAGGAATAACATTATTCACCTACAACAAGATCATTCAGATGGGCCAGGGCTTTTCCTTGAAGGAATACCATTATTCACCTACAATAAGATCATTCAGATGGGCCAGGGCTTTTCCTTGAAGGAATAACATTATTCACCTGCAATAAGATCATTCAGATGGGCCAGGGCTTTTCCTTGAAGGAATAACATTATTCACCTGCAATAAGATCATTCAGATGGGCTAGGGCTTTTCCTTGAAGGAATAACATTATTCACCTGCAATAAGATCATTCAGATGGACCAGGGCTTTTCCTTTAAGGAATAACATTATTCACCTACAATAAGATCATTCAGGTGGGACAGGGCTTTTTTGAATATTAACTTCCATTGCCCTCCAAGAGTGCCTGAATTTACTTATCACTTCAGTGTATATACACACACCAAGAAAAGAGGGTTCCTCCAGGGCTCTATGGGATGGGTGATGGTTCTATGTGGAACCATAATGACTCAAAGAACCCTATGAGCCCTTCACTGTTTCTTTGCAGTTCACAAAAGGGATCTTTGTTCTTCACTGAGTGAGTGTGTCATTCCAGTTCATCTGATCTGTTGTGTTATGCCATTACTGTAAGGACAGACGCTGGGAGACGAGAAGCAAGTACAGGGAGTGAACACGTATTGAAAAAACAGACAGGAACAAAACACCGACAGCGTCTGGACAACGGAAAACAAAACAACATTAATGCAGACACGGGGACCAAACTGAGGAACAGACAGATATAGGGGAGGTAACCAAGCAGTGATGAGTTCAGGTGATTCCAATGAAGCGCTGATGCGCGTAATGATGGTGACAAGTGTGCGTAATGATGGGCAGCCTGGCGCCGTCGAGCGCCAGGCAGGGGGAGCGGGAGCAAGCGTGACAATTACATGTTATATGACCATGGCCAGTGATGGTGTCTTGTGAAAGCATCACGTATGGCCTTGTGTCTATTGAGAACTGACGTCAAAATCATTGGTTCTCAATGATGTCTTCAGGGTAGTTACGGGGAAATTAAGCTTCCTGAAGTATTGAGGCTTTCCATCCAAATAGGTTCATTACTCAGCGCTTCATTATCCGTTCACAATGCACATTAGTGGCATCTGCTGGTAAGCAACAAATAGCATTTAAAAAAACATTTTTAGTCATTTAGCAGACGCTCTTATCCAGAGCGACTTACAGTTAGTGAGTGCATACATTTTTCATACTTCCCCCCCGTGAGAATCGAACCCGCAACCCTGGCGTTGCAAGCGCCATGCACTACCAACTGAGCTACAGCCCTTCTGTGATTATTAGATCAGTTTTTTTGCCTCTACTGATTTGATCAAAACTCGGTGGCGCAGCAGTAAGTCTTTGTCTTTAGGAACCTAAGTATGTTGGATTGCCAGGTTCACATCTTACATCATGCTTCCCTTTGTTTCCTTCAACTTTACTATTGTTCTAAAACAGAACCTATGGCATTGTTTAGGATAGTTACCTACTCTACCTGCTAAGCTACCAGTCAGGTGTAATTACATGTACAAAATCCTAACTAGTTGTATAAGTACGATAACCAGTAAAGGTCGTGTTTGAAAGCAGCTTCATCAAAGAAAGCACCGGAACCACGGCGAAATCAGTGGGATCTCGCATTTTGCAACACATGGTTTAAAAAAGCACATGCTCAAACGAAGCTTCACACATCATTGATGATGTAATTCTGATAAAATGATACATGCATCGGCACGCTGCTTCGAAGTTAGATGCTTCGCAATTTCGACGCATGCCTCGGAGCTCCAGTATCAAACGTAATATCACTGCTTCAGGGACCCTCAGCTGTTCCAGCGCTAGCACACCTGATTCTACTTGTCAGTTAACACATTAATAACACCTATGGAATATTAACAACACAATATTGCTAACCTTGTATTATTCTTCAAAATATTATTTGTAGAACCTTTGAGATTGAGAAAAGTTATTTATAGAACCATTAAAAAGGGTTCCATACTGCACCAAAAAGTGTTGTAACCATAGCAGAACCCTTTTTGGTGCTATATATAATATTTTTTAATAGTTCTTTATATAACCTTAGGAAAGGGTTCTATATAGCACCAGAAAGGGCAGGGTGGACTGTGAGCTAAAAGGGCAGGGTGGACTGTGGGCTAAAAGGGAAGGGTGGACTGTGGGCTAAAAGGGAAGGGTGGACTGTGGGCTAAAAGGGCAGGGTGGACTGTGGGCCAAAAGGGCAGGGTGGACTGTGGGCTAAAAGGGCAGGGTGGACTGTGGGCTAAAAGGGCAGTGTGGACTGTGGGCTAAAAGGGCAGGGTGGACTGTGGGCTAAAAGGGCAGGGTGGACTGTGGGCCAAAAGGGCAGGGTGGACTGTGGGCCAAAAGGGCAGGGTGGACTGTGGGCCAAAAGGGCAGATTATTGCCCGCTGTCCTACAAGTCACAAGGCATCCAAATGATACTAACTCATACACTCTTAAAAAAAAAGGTATTATCTAGAACCTAAAAGGGTTATTCGGCTGTCCCCATAGGATAATCCTTTGAAGAACCGTTTTTGGTTCCAGGTAGAACATTTTTGAGTTACATGTAGAACCCTTTACACAGAGGGTTCTACATGGAACCCAAAATAGTTCTACCTGGAACCAAAAAGGGTTCTCCTATGGGGACACCCGAAGAACCCTGTTGGAACCCTTTTTTCTAAGAGTGTAGAGAGAGACTGTCCTCCTAGCACAACAACAGAGAGAGACTGTCCTCCTAGCACAACAACAGAGAGAGACTGTCCTCCTAGAGGCGATGTAAACATATGTTTCCCATGCCAATAAAGCCCCTTGAATTGAATTGAGAGAGAGTGTGAGAGGCAGAGAGAGACAGAGGGAGAGAGAGAGAGAGAGAGAGAGAGTCAGTCCATGGTAACAGACAGGGTTCAGTCCAGTTAATCATTAGTAATGATATCGAGATAGAAGTTCACCCTGGCAACCAGAGGGCATTACACACACACACAATGATTTGACATCAGAAACACAAACAGGTCCTGTAGAATTCATTAGTATCAAATCAAACAAACATAATCCCTGCTACGCCAACACAAGCCCAGGTTTCTAGATGAGATAAGACCCCACGGTACTGGGACAGATAAGGAAGCATCCCTGCTGTACCTTGGTGCGTGTGTGAGGGCAGTAACATTCTCTCTCTCTCTCTCTCTCTCTCTCTCTCTCTCTCTCTCTCTCTCTCTCTCTCTCTCTCTTTCTCTCTCTCTCTCTCTCTCTCTCTCTCTCTCTCTCTCTCTCTCTCTCTCCAATTTAAGGGCTTTATTGGCATGGGAAACGTATGTTAACATTGCCAAAGCAAGTGAAGTAGATAATAAACAAAAGTGAAATAAACTATAAATATTAACAGTAAACATTACACTCAGAAGTTACAAAAGAATAAAGACATTTCAAATGTCATATTATGTATATATACAGTGTTGTAACAATGTGCAAATAGTTAAAGTACAAATGGGAAAATAAATAAACAAAAATATGGGTTGTATTTACAATGGTGTTTGTTCTTCACTGGTTGCCCTTTTCTTGTGGCAACCATATATTATCTAAAGAGAGTGCATTATAGCCATAATTATAGCTCCTCTCTCTCTCTCCCTCCTCCTCTCTCAGATATGCACGGGACATTCATGGTGTTGCTTCCTGTCAGTATGATCATAATGGTCGTCGGGGGAGTGATGGGGTTCATCGGCCTGCTGGCTAGAGCATACCTACTACTGCTGATGACTGGTGTACTGTTACTACTGGGAGGTAAGCACCCTATACCCTACACCCTATACCCTACACAATACACCCTATACCCTACACAATACACCCTTACCACCAGAGCATACCTACTACTGCTGATAACTGGTGTACTGTTACTACTGTGAGGTAAGCACCCTATACCCTACACCCTATACCCTATACCCTATACCCTACACCCTATACCCTACACAATACACCCTTACCACCAGAGCATACCTACTACTGCTGATAACTGGTGTACTGTTACTACTTGGAGGTAAGCACCCTATACCCTACACCCTATTCACTACACACTATACAAGCCCCACCACCAAACCACAACAGTTTATCTACTGTACCTATCACTTTCCACTCTCATTTATACTCAAAGTACACTGAACAAAAAAAATTTAACAACATGCAACAATTTAAAATATTTTACTGAGTTACAGTTCATATAGGGAAATCAGTCAATTGAAATAAATTCATTAGGCCCTAATCTATGGATTTCACATGACTGGGAATACAGTTATGCATCTGTTGGTCACAGACACCTTAAAAAATAAAGGTAGGGGTGTGGATCGGAAAACCAGTCAGTATCTGGTGTGACCACCATTTGCCTTATGCAGCACGACACATCTCCTTCGCATAGAGTTGATCAGGCTGTTGATTGTGGCCTGTGGAATGTTTTCCCACTCCTCTTCAATGGCTGTGCGAAGTTGCTGGATATTTGCGGGAAGTGGAACACGCTGTCGTACCAGTCGATCCAGGGCATCCCAAACATGCACAATGGGTGACATGTCTGGTGAGTATGCAGGCCATGGAAGAACTCTGACATTTTCAGCTTCCAGGAATTGTGTACAGATCCTTGCGACATTATCATGCTGAAACATGAGATGATGGCAGCAGATGAATGGCACGACAATGGGTCTCAGGATCTCGTCACGGTATCACAGTATGGCCATTGATAAAATACAATTGTTTTTGTTGTCTGTAGCTTATGTCTGCCCTTACCATAACCCCACCGCCACCATGGGACACTCTGTTCACAACGTTGACATCAGCAAACCACTCGCCCACACAATGCCATACACAGGGTCTGCGGTTGTGAGGCCGGAACATTTCTGGGATCTTTTATTTCAGCTCATGAAACATGGAACCAACACTTTACATGTTGTGTTTATATTGTTGTTCAGTGTAGTTTAGGGGCTGTTTATACAGAAAATGGGTATAAGACCTGTATAAACTATTTATAATGATATGACAATATTTTAGGTTGACTATAATTCTATTACACAATTTCTGATACATCACGTCTTACTATTATTTTCCTGCATAGTAAAATCAGGATTATGCTTCTACTGCCATTCATTCCATTTAGACTGGTTTGGATTTCTCCCTGACCAAGATGGCTGCCATTTTCTCCCCATTCTGGAACTTTGAGGGTTTATGACATAGCCCCTCTAGTAATTTAATAGGATCTCTATGGGCACACCTCGTCATCAGGCCTGTTGACGAGAGCTGGTCTGACACTGGAGCTGCAGAGCGGACCACATTTCTTTTCTTTTCAGTAATCAAGGCCATACGCAAGCACACACAACAAGAATGGATGAAAGGACATGTGATGTCCCACACATAGGGCTGTGATGATTATGGAATCATGGTTAATGATTAATTGTCACGCAAATGGACACTGTTATTGTCATAATTGTCATTTTTCGTAACCATTTTTATTAGCTTGTAATCCATCATAATCCATATTTGAGATCGGCAACACTTTACTTGACACCCAACGCCATAACACGTTATGACACGGTCATAACCATGTCATAATATGTCATAACAGCTGACATAACTTGCATAATTTTATTTATTTATTTTATAACTTCTTAAGTCCTTTGTTGTTGTTGTTGTTATGAATGCTTTTTCCCCATCATGTTTTAAATAACTTGCAGAAAATACATTTTATGACACTGTCATGAAGCATTATGACCATCCTGTGTCACTTTATGACTCTGTCAAGAAGCATTATGACCATCATAATCATACAAGCCAGATAGGCCTATCACGTGTATGCCATGCTCCTGAAATCTGCTCCTGCATTCATCCCAGTCATCAGCAACAGAGCATTGGGGTATGTGCATGTCTGACATCAATTTGTGTGCAATGATAATTTAATATTGTCAATTTCAGAAAATTGGATATACTGTAACATTAACATACTGTTGACAAGTAGGCTATGGTGTAATGGAATGTTTTGCCTTGTGTGGTAGGTTTTGTGGGTTTTGACACTCTTATGTACAACAGGTCTAAATATGTGTCATGAAAGTGTTATGACGATATTATAACAGGTTATGACATGTTATGTCAGCTGTTATGATATATTATGACATGGTTATGACCGTGTTATAACATGTTATGACACTGGGTGTCAAGTAAAGTGTAACCAAATGATCCATGACATACTTTGGTCCACACCGGTCTCAAAAACAAATGGTTTTGGAAGTGCTGTGCACCTGGTGCCTCACTGCAGAAATGGAATGAACGCTCCAAGGGATGTTCATTATGGCATTAGTAGCATTTGGATTAAGTGCAAACTGGAAACTGCATATCCTGAGGCGGCATTTATTGTAGCTGGGGACTTTAATAAAGGAAATATGAGGAAAACGCTACAGAAATTCTATCAAGACGTCTCCTGTGCTACACGCGCAGACTGCTACACAGTAGCCGGCCTCCACCCAGTACCCTGCCCTGAACCTTAGTCAATGTTCTAGCCGGCTACCACCCGGTACTCTACCCTGCACCTTAGAGACTGTTTGCCCTATGTACATAGTCATTGAACACTGGTCACTTGTTCACATACTGTTTTACCCACTTCATATGTATCTACTGTATTCTAGTCATGGTTCATCCTATATAACTACTGCTGTCCACTTCACATGTATATACTGTATTCTAGTCATGGTTCATCCTATATAACTACTGCTGTCCACTTCATATGTATCTACTGTATTCTAGTCATGGTTCATCCTATATAACTGCTGCTGTCCACTTCATATGTATATAGTGTATTCTAGTCATGGTTCATCCTATATAACTGCTGCTGTACACACGTTTTCTGTTCATATACTGTCCATACTGTCTATAAACACCATCCTATATAACTACTGCTGTACACACCTTTTCTGTTCATATACTGTCCCTACTGTCTATAAACACCATCCTATATAACTACTGCTGTACACACCTTTTCTGTTCATATACTGTCCATACTGTCTATACACACCATCCTATATAACTACTGCTGTACACACCTTTTCTGTTCATATACTGTCCCTACTGTCTATACACACCATCCCATATAACTACTGCTGTACACACCTTTTCTGTTCATATACTGTCCATACTGTCTATATACACCATCCTATATAACTACTGCTGTACACACCTTTTCTGTTCATATACTGTCCATATACACCATCCTATATAACTACTGCTGTACACACCTTTTCTGTTCATATACTGTCCATACTGTCTATAAACACCATCCTATATAACTACTGCTGTACACACCTTTTCTGTTCATATACTGTCCATACTGTCTATATACACCATCCTATATAACTACTGCTGTACACACCTTTTCTGTTCATATACTGTCCATACTGTCCATACACACCATTATACAATAGTAGAAAATAAAAACAGTCAAAATAAAGACAAGCCCTTGAATGAGTAGGTGTGTCTAAACTTTTGACTGGTACCATATATATATATATATATATATACACACACACATTCCATTATATGTGTACATACACTCTGACCCGTTTATTAGGTACACCCATCTAGTACGGGGTTGGACCGCCCTTTGCCTCCAGAACAGCCTGAATTCTTCAGGGCATATAAACTTTGCTCAATTGGTATCAAGGGACCTAACGTGCGCCAGGAAAACATTCCCCACACCATTACACCATCGCCACCAGCCTGTACCGTTGACACCAGGGAGGTTGGGGCCATGGACTCATGTTGCTTAGGCCAAATTCATGACTGCCATCAGCATGACGCAACAGGAACCGGGATTCGTCGGACCAGGATTCGTCCACTCCTCAATTGTCCAGTGTTGGTGATCACGTGCCCACTGGAGCTGCTTCTTCTTGTTTTTAGCTGATAGGAGTGGAACCCGGTGTGGTCGTCTGCTGCAATAGCCCATCCGTGACAAGGACCGACGAGTTGTGAGTTCCGACATGTCGTTCTGCACACCACTGTTGTACTGCGTCGTTATGTTCCTGTTTGCCAGTTAGCTTGCACCATTCTTGCCATTCTCTTTTGACCTCTCATCAACGAGCTGTTTTTGCCCACAGGACTGCCGCTGACTGGATGTTTTTTGTTTGTCGCAACATTGTAGGTAAACTCTAGACACTGTCATGCGTGAAAAGCCCAGGAGGTCGTCCGTTTCTGAGATACTGGAACCGGCGCGCCTGGCACCGACGATCATAGCACGCTCAGTTGTTTAGGTCACTCGTTTTGCCCATCTAACGTTCAATAGAACAGTAACTGAATGCCTCGATGCCTGTCTGCCTGGTTTATATAGCAAGCCACAGCCACGTGACTCACTGTCTGTAGGAGCGATCAATTTTCGTGAACGGGGTGGTGTACCTAATAAACTGGCCACTGTGTATATTTATATTCCTGTCTCTGACATTGACAAACTTTTTTTTACTTTTGGGGATTATGTGTGTATTGTTTTGTATTGCTAGATATTACTGCACTGTTGGAGCTAGAAACACAAGCATTTCGCTGCACCTTTGATAACATCTGCAAATCTGCAATAAACATTGATTTGGGATTTGATTTGAAGAACTTTGGGCCAAAACAATGTGACGATTTTTCCCTTTCCACCTGTGTCTCCTTAGTGGTCAGTATGTCCTTGTATCTCCCTAGTGGTCAGTATGTCCCTGTATCTCCGTAGTGGTCAGTATGTCCCTGTATCTCCCTAGTGGTCAGTATGTCCCTGTGTCTCCCTAGTGGTCAGTATGTCCCTGTGTCTCCCTAGTGGTCAGTATGTCCCTGTGTCTCCCTAGTGGTCAGTATGTTCCTGTCATTTGGTATTTTGTCAGTAACACACCTTTTCTCCTTCCCTCCAGCTCTGTCCTCTCTAACAGGGGTGAGTGTGTACATGGCCTACTCTGCTGCAGTCTTCCAGGAGGCTCAGTGTCTGGCTGAGCAGATGGGGGTCAATATGGAGGGGATCCAGATCCTGTTTGGCTGGTCCCTGGTCCTGGCCTGGGTCTCCAGTGGAACACAAATAATCACCTCCGCTGGCTTTCTGCTGGCCTGCAGAACCATCACTACACAGAGACAGGAACTGAAATTATGAGACAGGGAGGGAGAGGGAGGGATGGGGGGGAGAGGGAGGGAGGGAGGGAGGGGGAGGGAGGGATGGGAGGGAGAGAGGGAGGGGGAGGGAGGGATGGGGGGAGAGAGGGAGGGGGGGGAGAGAGGGAGGGGAGGAAGGGATGGGGGAGAGATGGAGGGGGAGGGATGGGGAGAGAGAGGGAGGGGGAGGGATGGGGAGAGAGGGAGGGGGACAGAGGGAGAAAAAAAAGCATGTTTTCATGAATTTTTACAATATAGCCAATTTTGACTTTGCAGCTGGCCTAGCTAAGGGGAAATCACTCAGTTCTGCCTCCAAGACAAGATTCATAACAATAAACGTCAACCTGCATCCTTGGCCCTCCTGTAGCTCAGTTGGTAGAGCATGGCGCTTGCAACGCAAGGGTTGTGGGTTCGATTCCCATGGGGGGCCAGTATGAAAAATGTATGCACTCACTAATTGTAAGTTGCTCTGGATAAGAGCATCTGCTAAATGACTAAAATGTCAATTGGATCACGAAAATGTTGATGCAATTAAACTATGTCCTCTCTCTTGTCTTGAGATATCCATTTGATTGGTTAAGACAGAAGGTCAAGTGTACCTGGAGGGGAGGCGTATTCATGTAGCTGGGAAAAGATCACACTGTTAAAGGGACAATCTGTGATTGCTACATCCATTTTTGGACTTTCAAACAGTTTTTGTGTGACTGCATTGTTGATGTTGGAGCTGCAGATTGCCCCTTTAAGTGTACCTGTAGGCAGGAGTGGTGTCTTGATGTAGCCGGGAAACGATCTCAAGGTTAAGGGGACAATCTGCGATTGCTACATCCATCTTTAAAAAAAACTTTTAGTGGTGGCGTGAACGCATTGTTGATGTTTGAACTGCAGATTGCCCCTTTAAGTGTACCTGTAGGCAGGAGAGATGTGTTGATGTAGCCGGGAAAGAAACACACTTACCAAACCCTGGGAACCCCTTCCCTACACCACCTTAACTGGCTCCCAGTCAAATTCCACATCACCTACAAGAAACTACACCTCACCTACAAGGCCTTGCCCCCTCATACCTCTCTGACTTCCTCCTTTAGTCCATTGTTGATATAGTTCCAAAAATGTTTTCCATGTCAGCAATCAAGTTTTCAAGATATATAACTTTCAAAATACAGGTACACAGCCAATATGATCTATTTTGCATCATATGGTATTAGTCCTTAGAAACAGTATGTCTCTAAGGCACTCGGGCTCCCGAGTGGCGCAGCGGTCTAAGGCACTGCATCTCAGAGCTTGAGGCGTCACTACAGACCCCCTGGTTCGATTCCAGGCTGTATCACAATCCGACCGTGATTGGGAGTCCCATAGGGCGGCGCACAATTGGCCCAGTGTCATCTGGGTTTGGCTGGTGTAGGCCGTCATTGAAAATAAGCATTTGTTCTTAACTGACTTGCCTAGTTAAATAAATGAATATCTGTCTGTCTGTAAAGCTAAAGCCTTTTACCGTCCTACCTAAAATACTTCACCCTTATTGGAGCAGTGGTTAGCAGGTCTACCCCGCAAGGGGAATTACACTGTCGCCATTTGTAAAAAATCTCTACAATACTGTACTATGTGATTGACTTGAATAGACTCAGTATGTCACACAGAAATGACTTAATTCTGTTTTAACTAATGAACGGGTTGTTTTTCAGGTCTGAGGGTCATGTTTGAAAATGTCAGATGTGTATAAAACTATTCTTCAAATAACATTGAGTTAATAAAACCTATTATTTAAATAAAGTTGAGTTAATAAAACGTATTGTTCAAAATAAAGTTGAATAAGCAAGCAATTTTGTGATTGTCAACATCCTCCTATATTCTCAAGTCTCTGTGTGATGTATTAGACCAGGGGTGTCAAACTCATTTTAGCTCAGGGGCCACATGGAGGAAAATCTATTCCCAAGTGGGCCGGACCGGAAAAATCATGGTATATATAACTTAAAAACAACAACTTCAGATTGTTTTCTTTGTTTTAATACGATCAACATACAACATAAAGCTGGAGCCTGAGGACAGTGTGTCCAAAATAGTACAAGCACAACATCACTATTAATCATAAAACACATCAAGTTTATTTGAAAATTCTAAAGAAAAAGAACACACAAACACACAATGCCTCAGTGATTAACAGAACTGTTTCACAGACACAGAACTATATCAGGGTGTCATTTCTCAGGCAGAAATGTAGATAAAAATAATGAAATCCTGTTCCCCAAACAAGTGCAAGAACCACAGAGTCAAGAATAGGTTAAATATACAAATACAATAAAATCAATTAAAAACAATAGCACATCAACATAAAAACATATAAACATAAAGCTGGAGCCTGAGGACAGTGTCCAAAAGCACAACATCACTATTAATCATAAAACACCTCAAGTTATTTGAAAGTTCTGAGGACAAAGAACACACAAACACACAATGCCTCAGTGATTCACAGAAGTATATCACAGATCACAGAACTATATCAGGGTGTCATTTCTCAGGCAGAAATGTAGATAAAAATAATGAAATCCTGTTCCCCAAACAAGTGCAAGAACCACAGAGTCAAGAATAGGTTAAATATACAAATACAATAAAATCAATTAAAAACAATAGCACATCAACATAAAAACATATAAACATAAATCTGAAAGCGTTGCTCAAACTCCCGTAACAGTCCCGTTATTTTATCTTTGAACCGCTTCATGTCTGCCACATTGTCACGATCGTCTGATGAATGAACGGACCAAAGCGCAGCGCGTTGAGTGAACATGATAACTTTAATAAAGTAAAGCACGTAAATACAAAACAAACGACGATTCGTGAAGTCCTCTGCTAAACTGACAGAAACGGAACAATACCTGAACTTGGAACAATAACCCACAAAACAAAGGAGAAAACACACAGTTTAAATATGGCTCCCAATCAGAGATAACGAGCCGACAGCTGACACTCGTTACCTCCGATTGGGAGTCATTGACTACAACATACAACCACCTAGAAAAACAACCCACAGACCTGCAAACATAGAAATACACCCAACAGAACTACCAACATAGAAAAACACCCAAATCCCCAACAAAACAACATACACTCTAGCTCACATACAAAAGTCCTAGAGCCAGAGTGTCACAGTACCCCCCCCTAAAGGTGCGAACTCCGGGCGCACCAGCCCACAGTCTAGGGGAGGGTCTGGGTGGGCGTCTGTCCACGGTGGCGGTTCTGCCCCTGGTCGTGGTCCCCACCCCACCTTAGTCACCAGCTTCCCTAGCCTCCTCCACATTACCCCCCCCCAACTAAACCCCACTGGGTTAAGGGGCGGCCCCGGACTAAGGGGCAGCACCGGACTAAGGGGCAGTACCGGACTAAGGAGCAGTACCGGACTAAGGGGCAGTACCAGGCTAAGGGGCAGCACCGGACTAAGGGACAGTACCAGGCTAAGGGACAGCACCAGGACAAGGGACAGCACCAGGATAAGGAGCAACACCGAGCTAAGGGGCAGCACCTGACTAAATGGCGGATCCTGGCTGGCTGGCTCTGGCGGATCCTGGCTGGCTGGCGGATCCTGGCTGGACGGCTCTGGCGGATCCCGGCTGGACGGCTCTGGCGGATCCCGGCTGGACGGCTCTGGCGGATCCCGGCTGGACGGCTCTGGCGGATCCTGGCTGGACGGCTCGGGCGGATCCTGGCTGGACGGCTCATGGCTGGCTGACGGATCTGGCTGCTCATGGCTGGCTGACGGATCTGGCTGCTCATGGCTGGCTGACGGATCTGGCTGCTCATGGCTGGCTGACGGATCTGGCTGCTCATGGCTGGCTGACGGATCTGGCTGCTCATGGCTGGCTGACGGATCTGGCTGCTCATGGCTGGCTGACGGATCTGGCTGCTCATGGCCGACTGACGGATCTGGCTGATCCTGTCTGGCGGAAGACTCTGGCTGATCCTGTCTGGCAGAAGGCTCTGGCTGATCCTGTCTGGCAGAAGGCTCTGGCTGATCCTGTCTGGCAGAAGGCTCTGGCTGATCCTGTCTGGCGGAAGGCTCTGGCTGATCCTGTCTGGCGGAAGGCTCTGGCTGCTCCTGTCTGGCGGAAGGCTCTGGCTGATCCTGTCTGGCGGAAGGCTCTGGCTGCTCCTGTCTGGCGGAGAGCTCTAGCGGCTCCGGTCTGGCGGACGGCTCTGAAGGCTCATGGCAGACGGGCGGCTTTGAAGGCTCAGTACAGACGGGCAGCTCCTGCGGCGCTTGGCAGACGGACAGTTCAGACAGCGTTGGGCAGACGGGCAGTTCAGACGGCGTTGGGCAGACGGACAGTTCAGGCCCCGTTGGGCAGACGGACAGTTCAGGCCCTGTTGGGCAGACGGCAGACTCTGGCTGTCTGAGGCGCATCATAGGCCTGGTGCGTGGTGCCGGAACAGGAGGTACCGGGCTGAGGACACGCATCTCAGGGCTAGTGCGGGGAGAAGCAACAGGGCATGCTGGACCCTGGGGACGCACCGTAGGCCTGATGCGTGGTGCCGGAACTGGAGGTACCGGGCTGAGGACACGCATCTCAGGGCTAGTGCGGGAAGCAGCAACAGGGCATGCTTGGCCCTGGGGACGCACCGTAGGCCTGATGCGTGGTGCCGGAACTGGAGGTACCGGGCTGAGGACACGCATCTCAGGGCTAGTGCGGGGAGTCGGAACAGGGCATGCTGGACCCTGGGGACTCCCATAACGCCTAGTGCGGGGAGCCGGAACAGGGCATGCTGGACCCTGGGGACTCCCATAACGCCTAGTGCGGAGAGCAGGAACAGGCCGGGCTGGGCTGGCGACGCGCACCGTATCCCTGGTGCGAGTGGCCGGAACAGGCCGGGCCGGGCTGGCGAAGCGCACCGTATCCCTGGTGCGTGGAGTAGGAACAGGCCGGGCTGGGCTGGCGACGCGCACCGTATCCCTGGTACGAGTGGCCGGAACAGGCCGGGTCGGGCTGGCGTAGCACACCGTGGACCTGG